GAGTACTGAACAACCTGGCTTTGGTTTCTAGTTCTTAAAAGAAAAAAATATTTAATTCTTTCTGGTTCTTATGCTTGCTAGCACCTCAGTAGCTTGTTAGCATCTCAGTAGCTTGATTCTTTGTTGGTTGCCTCCATTACCATTCTTAAAGATGCCTCTACTGTGCTTCTCGGTGACAGGAGCATGAAGTCATTGTCAGAAGCTAAATCCATAATCAGTAATCCAACTGTACTACCTTTTATTTTACCAGTTTATAAGTATAGAAATGAAACAAATCCACACATCTCAGAGAATGTTTTGTTATTCTTTTTATGGATGAAAACTTCATAACTGTGGAACTGTGATCATGATTTTGTGCCAATCTCAGTTGCAAAACCGCTCAAATGAAATTAGGAGAATGTGGACAATGGAAATCTTGAGGAAGAAATAGTATTAAAGGATATCTGGGCATTTAATCTCCTTTCAGCTTGCTAGGGTCCTGGAAAGCCCAACTCTCTATAGTCCATGCCTATATTTCTGATCTATTCCTATTTACCTGGTATGATCTGACATTACATCAGATACGAGGATCATTACTATAAGTCCATTTCCCTCCAAAAGTTATACTAGTTACCTACATGTTGTCTCTGACATCACGACCATTTAAAAAAACAGTTATAAATGTTTATGAATAGTGAGTTGACTAATTTAAGTGTTTATTCAGAAATTTAGGGATTATGTCATCTGGTTCTGGTAATACACTTATTTGTTTTTGGTAATATACTTATTTTTGTCTATTTTGTTAATGAGGTCTAGAACATCCCATGTGTTTGTCACTGTCAATCTAAAACTTCTGAGCTGTTCCCCAAAAAATATCATTTAGAAATAAGAATACTCCTAATATCTTCCTCAGTAAAAACTGAAATAAATTTAATTGAATCTCCTACAATCTTCTTTTCTATATCTGTTTGAAAAGCATATACTATGTTCCTAAAATGATATCACTCTTTCACTAGATGCTCTCTATCTCTTTATATAAAATTTATTTCATAAATGCAACTCCAAGAAGCTGTTCAAAATAATGTCTAGTTTGCTTTTAACACACCATTCTTTATAGCTTCCTTGCTCTAATTTATACTTTTATTTGCTCAACAAATATTTGACTGCCTTCAATGGGCCAGGCACTGTTCTATACACAGATGATACACATGTGAAAAAAATAAACCCTTGTTTTATACATATCACTGTATATATAATCTAGAAGTACTTGACACTTGGTTTGCCTCAAAAGCATGTAAGGTCTTACTCTGCTTTAAATAAACCAAAACTAAAAGTTGTATATATGAATTTGGAAAGGTTTATGGAAGAGAAGTGCACTAGAATCTCCTGTGGTACCTTTCAAAAAAAAAAAAAAAAAAAAAAAGCAAGTGCCTAGGACTCATGCCTAGAGGTTTTAAGTCTCTAAGACTGAAGTGATGTTGGAAATCTCTATTTTAAACACCAGAGTTGAGAATTACTGGCCAGCTAGATAAAGGACACCTTACCAATGAGAAGGAAACAAAAAAACACATCTATTTGCCTCTCAAATAGTTCATAGTATAATGGCAGTGGCAGATTTTAAGAAACTTTTTTAATCACAAGAAGGTGCTAAATTCACACTATAGGTGTATGCCAGATGCTACAGAAAAACATAGAAGAGGTTTCAGAAAAAGAAAAAAGAAAAAAAAGAACCCTGGTGGGTAGTTGAGGCCACAGTGCTCAGAGCTACTCTCATAGAGGTGATGTTTGAACTATGAGGTAAAGGGTAGCTGGGAATTCTCCAATAATATCAAGGTAGAAAAGGTGTTCTAGTCAGAAACAATAGAATGAGAGAAGGCATTGAGATATAAGAAAATACAGTGCTTTTTAGGGAATGCAGTGTACTTAAGGTATCAAGGAAATGAGAATGGAAAGGTAAACAGGAATCCCCTCTGAAGGAAACCCTATACACATCAAGGTAAGTGATCTGAAATTTACTGTATAGAGCAATAGTTTCAAGTTGTATTTCACAGAATTCAAGTTCAGGAAAGGCAGTTCATGTATTTCACAAATAACTGGACAATGCAGGCATTCAAATGCATATACATTCTGAACTTAGATTGCAGTAACCCAATGCATTAACTTTTTTTTTTTTTTTTCTGATCTTGCACTAAAGTTTCTTCTGCTATTTCTATGGCTTTGAACTGCTTATAGATATATTGTTTATTAGAAGGGTATAGCTTTATACTTTCACGTTTTTAAGGCTAGCAAATGTCCTACTACCTTTCTATGGATGATATACACAACAAAAACAAAATGTAAAAAACAATGTTTTATTGATTGGCCGTATAATTTCTTCTTATAATTTCTAAAACAAATGTGTGCCTATAAGGTGCCACATTTATTTGTTTTAACAGATGTTATTTACTGTGGTTTCAAATAAGACTTTCATTGTAAGAGCATCATTGCTTGAGGGAAATCAACATAGAATTTTTAGCAAGGAAATGACATAATTAACATTATATTTCAGAAATAGCCATTATTGTAACAAAATGAAGTATAATAAGGTAAAACAAGAAGTAAAGAGATCAGTTAGAAAGTGATTTCAAAAGACCAAGCAAGAAAATATGATGAAATGAACAAGCACTAGGGATGGAGAAAAGGTAATACATTTCAGAAATACTAAGGAAATAGATGGGATGTGATAACTAATCAAATAGTAGAGAGGAGGATGGCTTTCAAACGGTCAACTCTAGATTTATACTTTAGTCTTGGCCATGTTGAAAAGGTAGAAGCACCCAGAACATGACAACTCCTTAGTACTCAGAATAAAATGTTTTTTTGCACATTTAATCAGTAAGTCTATAAATCTAAATAAAGTCCCCATTTCAGTAATGGTTCTAATTTTTGGATTTTCTTAGTTCATTTTTATATATTTTGTTATAGGCCAGGTAACTATAATATAGTCATATAACTACTTTTAAAAATTAACTATATTCCTATCCAAAGATGGTATAGCATTTTCCACATTTAGTAAGACTTCAATACTATTAGTGGACAACTTATATAGCTATCTCTTATAATTGATTTGAAAATCATAAGCTAATATTATTATAACCCACAAGTTACATTCATTCCACTATAAACAGGTGATTTTAGAAACTTTAACAATAATATTAATATATAATTTATCATCCTTTCCATTTATGCATTGCCTTCACCTTGTCTTGTCTGATCTTCTCAATAACGCTCTTTTAGTTAGGGAGAGCAAATATGCTTATTCCAATACTACAGATGCAGAAATCAAGGCTCAAGGGAGATAAATGGCTTGCCCACGATTATATGGCTGTTAACTAGCAGAATTTTAAATAAAACTCAAATTTTCTGATTCCTAGGCCAATGATCCTCCTATCATGCCATATGTTTTAAAACTTGTATGTATTTAACTTTTGCCACTTCCTATAACTATCTCTTGCCTGAATAAATAGGAAGATAACTATGTATTCCCTTCTCTCTTGCATTCACCCATTTCCTTGAAGTTTTTTATTTAAAACCTCTCTACAAGCTTTATAACCTCAGCAGCCCAATGTCATTCTACTTCAGAAGTCTATCTTTTCTATATCAATTTTATCTATAGTAAAATTATCCTATATCACTATCATATACATGAATTGAGAGAATTTGGAAAACTATTTCAGAATCTGATCACAAAAATTACAAATACAATGAAGATTAGAGAATCAGGGCATAATTCCCCTGCCTAACAGTTCAAATTTGACCTCCAAGACTGTTTAACATTTGTCTCATAACCACTATTAAGCCCTTCCCTAATCTAACAGAATATCTGTTATTTCCTATTGAGGAAAAAAAATCATTACTGTACACAAATTTCACAAAGTAGTTTAGAATTAAATCTGTTTATCTAACTTAACTCTAAATAAACTTGCTTTTATGTAAACTAACAACTGTAGATTAAATGTTTGTATAATGACCCTGCTAGGTTTATAGACTGAGGCAGTGATTGAAATTTATCTCTTTATACATATATCACTTGTTTACCACAAAACTAATTTTAATAATTTCAAAAAAACTTTTGTGAAAGTATTTTAAACATTGTTAATTTCTGTAATTTTGCAAGTTTTCTATTTCTTTTTTTTTAGCCAAATACATTTACAAAAGTATATTTATTTATATTACACAAATAACTTAGTAGCTTTTGTTGCATATAATAGGCACATTCTAAGACAACTCAAAAAAGGGCAATAAAATCATAAATCACTTTATGTCATAAAATATAACGACTATAACAATAACAATATCTCTATACATTAACCTAAAGCTTGTTTTATAAATTCTCATCTCTACCTATCAGAAACTCTCTTTTGCATATTCATTAGAAGTTCAATATCAAAGTATAATTACATAAAATGTTTTCTCACTAAACCAAAACACAGGCTATTTTTGAGTTCTTACAAGTATAACAAGTTCTTACAAGCCTGTGTATTTGTCTATTTATGAAGAGTTCAAGAATGTGGAGGTGTTTTTATTCAGAATTTTAAAGCAATGTCATTGGCCCCCTTAAAACGGACATATTTTCCTATTATCTACTTAATTCTAGCAACATGTTAGTAGCTTTATTCATTTCATACTGAACAGTGAAATAACAATTATTTGATCTGACAACACAGAAAACCAAATGACTATTTTCTTCTTCAGTTAATGTAATACACAAATATTAAAAATTTTGTCCACCATTGGGTCTTAACATTGTCTTGCAAATTCTACTTTTTGTGTGTGCTAATTTCCCCCTTAAACTATCATTGCTTTTTAAGTTGATGCCTGAAATTTCTATTAATTCAACCTGATCTACCCACAGAGCTTGCTGCACCAGACTCTGATACTGGCATCTCAACAGTTTCCAGTCCCTGGTGTGTTTTCCCCCCTTGTTTCCTCATAACAATATAATAAAGAAATAATAGGCTTTAAGCCAATTCAAAACTTACCTTGCAAATCTGGAAATACTCCGAAGTCAGGGTTTCCTGAATTTCCTCTCTGAGAACCCCTGCAGTCCCTGCTGGATGTACGGAACCACTTCCAGCCCCACCACCACTGTTACTGCCACTGCTGCTACCACTGCCAGGGGAGGAGGCAGTTAAGCCATCCAAAACTTTTCGGAAATTAAACTTCTTCATTTTACACACTGTTGAGAAATTCAAAGGAAAAAGGAAAGGGTGACTTAACATATGGAATTAGACCTTGGTAAAAGCCTTTCTCTTTTCATTAGTCAAGTCAGTCCCCATTTTATGAGCCTTGGTTATAACCGACCTGAGAAAAGAGGCTTCGTTTTGTCAAATTTTAATTCTAAAAAGCATATCCTTTTAAAGAGGATAAATATAACACAACTCCAAAAGCAACAGTATTCCCTCCTCATACATCAGATTTTCAAGGACTGTATCCCCAGCTGTAGCTACGCTTTATCAGCACTGAGGTAAAAATAAAAGGCAGTGTCATCATCGTCATTAGCATTATATCATCATTATTATACAATCAAACCAGAGCCCAACAGACCAAGACTCCGTCTCTCTCTTAAGTGCAGGCTTTCCTTCTTCGAAACGTTCAGCTCAGAATATTTTATTTTCAGAAAAACGATGTTGGGGAAGCCGGTATTTACTCTGCCACCACCTTCCGGGCTCTTCTCCCATCATCTTCAACGCTTCCTTTTTTGTCAATAGGAAAGGAGGGGGGGAGGTGGGGTTGTGAGGTGGGGGACTTTTTCTGTTCCCCATCCCCCAGCAGCTCGGACCCCAAAACATCTGCGAGTGACCCACAGCAACAGCTGCGGGGGGGAGGGGCGAACGGCGACGCCGTCTGCTTCCACTTGTCCCTCCTCCTCCCCCCCCCCCCCCCCCCCTGCGTCCTCTTTCCCCCTTCTCCCCACCTCCTGCTCCTCTCCCTCCACCTCTGCCGGCAGCCGCCACCGCGCTCTACTGCCTGCTAGCCCGCCCGCCGTCCGCTCTCCCCGCAGCACGACGGCCGCTCTCGAGGGAAGCGAACCGTTGGCTGCGACTACTGCGGCCCGAGTCCCGCCTCAGCCTGCTGGGCGCTCAGAGCCGCCGCTCCCGCTGTCCCTCCCCCGGCCCGAACGCTGAGGTGCCGGGCTCTGGCCCGCGGGCGCGCGAACAAACGAACACCTTATACCGAGCATTCGCGCGCCCAGCCAGAACACACACAAACACCCTCACACCGGCATTCGCGCGCAGGTGCGCTCATTCTCCTTCTCTCTCTCTCCTCGCTCTCACACACACACAGGTGCGAGGGAGCCACAGCCGGACGGCGGCTGAGTCCCACAGGGATGACTATCTGACCCAGGACTTAGGCACCTTCTTCAGACGCCACTCGCCGCCTGCCAGCCCGGGAAGCCTAGGGCGCGGAGGGAGGCTGGCTCACAGGCGTGGGTCTGGCCGGGCTCCGGCCACTTCAATCCCTCTGGTCGCGGCGCCTGGCGCTCTCCGAGGTCCTAACCGACCAGGCAGGCTTTAGCGCAGGCTCCGCCTTCCCGCCGTGGGAGGCAGGCCCCACCCCCTGGCCGGCCCTTCGCTCGCCCCGCCCCGCTTCTTCCTCAGCCAAGCCCGGCGGTGAAGGGGGCGGAGTACCCGGGGACGTCGAAGGGCGGGAGTAGCTTCGGCGCCAATCCTAGATTCGATAGGGCAAGTTCCGTGGTCTCTAGGGCGGAAGAAATCTGTGGATAGGCCGAAGGTAAAGCCAATGACAGTGGGAGGGGAGAATTTAGAAAAGTAGGTGAGGTATTTGATTGACAGCTGTATTGACCAGTATGCGGGGGGTCGTGCTCTAGGGGCCGTAATTGGCTTTACCTGTTGAAGGACGCAGGTGTGAGTCAATAGAATGCCTCGTGCGAATTTGGGCGCCTGGAGTCTGAGGCTGCGGGGAAGATTGCTTATCTTAGGTATGGCTCTGGACAGTGTGGTGAACTGGGCAAGTGTTTTGCAGCTTTTCACTTTCGCGAGCCTCTTCCGTCTCTTCAGGTGCATCTATCCGGCTCCTGTCACTCCCCTGCTACCTGCACTAAACCTGTATCTGTGATTAACCCCTGCTGTTACCTAATAATGGCTTAATTGTTCGTATGTGCCAGAGAGAATTGTATTTCAATAGTTTCAGAATATACAGCCTTCTAGAGCCTAAGGAATTGATTGCTCTCTCTAATAAGTAGAATTACTCCTTCCCCCTCATCCTCACATATACAAAAATATTTATTTAATTTCTTCAAAGAAACATTTCCCACTTTGCAAACTATCAAAAATATATTTAAGCTCTTTCTGGGAGTCACAATAATCATTTTGAAAGATGCATTATTCACTGCAGGAAAAAAAAATGTATCAGGATAGATTTGGTTCCGAGCCCTGACCTGCTATTGCACTGGGGAAAATTTGGATCCCGACGTCTTTGCAAAATGAAGGGCAGTTCGGCGGACCACAGCTAACTGAGACTTCAATTTGGGCATCGCCACAGATGTCTTAATATTGTCCAAATATTGTCTTATATCTTACAAACCTAGAATGACCTCGTTTTTCTTTTCTTCTTTTTCGCCTCTCCTCTTCTATCTCTCTCCTCTCAATCAAGAGAGAGTGGGAAGGAGGAAGCATGAGACTTGAAGGATGATGAGATGAAATAGCTCAGTTTTTCAGATCCTCAGCTCAGTGTTGAATCTTGCTGTCCTGAATGACTATTTCATTCCTTTTGGGACTCCCTATACTGCTGGTAGTCTCTCATTGCCACAGCTAGACAGTAACCTTCTTAAAGGTAACCATGGAATTGTGTATTTCTCCCAGATTATTTAGCACCAGACATGATATTTCACTTAAAATAATCACTGAAAGGGTTTTGAAAGTTGGCTTATTAATGTTTTTTATTAAAGATATATAAGTTGGTAACCAATTACATAATGTTTGAAAGGGGTAAAAGTAATGGTGGAAATAAATGCTATGTCTGACACAAATTAGATCATGATAGGATTCCAAATTCTATGTTGGGTTCCTAACAACAGGTATCTTTTTACTCTTTTTCACCTTTTTTCTTCTCTTCTTCCTGGCCCATTGCTCACCTCAAAGTATGGTTGCCAGTTAAGTTTGCTTTCCTTGTTTTATGTCTGGCTTTTCTTTTTAAAAACAGAGGCAAGGAGAGTTGTAATAAAGTGGCCGAGTAGTTAAGGTGATGGACTGCTGAAAGGGGAATGGGGGGAGTTTGGTCTAACTCTTTGTAGACTAGGTATTGTTGAGAACAATGGATTTAGATGCCCTTCTTCCCTTCAGCAACAAATCTGTCTGCAACTCCCTAATTGTCTAATAAATGAAAACAAACCTATAGCAAGTAGTGGTTTGATATTTTGATGGGAGTGAAGAAGGAAAATAGCCCCAATTCAGCAATTCAGCAAAGTGAGATGTAATGTTTGTAAACAAAACCTCTTAAACTGATTATCACAAATTAAATCATGGTTTTTATTCTAAAAATTGGGGGAGAGCTGAGGAAAAAAGTACACAAAAGATTGATGGAGATCCTTCTTGAGGACCCTGGAGAGAATTCAATGGACTGCCTGAATTAAAGAAAGATGACAAAGTAGATATCCCTTCAGATGGGACAATAAATAGATATAGGAAGTGGGAGAAAAGCCAAGTCAAAAGGTATGAATGTTTCCAAATAAGTTATGGAAGCCTAAAAAAACATATGATCATTAGGATGCTTAGACTGTGGACTATTCGAGACTATTTCAAATATCTGTGTTCCTCCACAGCGAATAGCATAATATCTTCTACATAGTAAGTGCCCAGTGAATATTTATTTGCATGAATGGCAGCAAGTAAAAGTCATAACATAATTGCAGTCTCAGAGAGCCTGTGGACAGAGGATCTTGTGATGCCAATTCACAAACTGTGAGCAAAGAATAGAAATAAGCAAGAGGCAGAGTACATTGTATGTGTGAGGGGACAGCAGAAACAATTGTAGCCTAAAAATCTTACTGGGTGAGAGAAGGATAATGAAATGTCTATGAAGGTAAATGTCATCCTGGATTAATTAAAAATCAATAAGATATTATTTTATAAACCATCTGGTAGCAGCAATGAGACCAGACCACCACAGCATATATTTTATAAATAATATGAGAAACTATAGAGTTGGATCGGGCAATAATAATGAGGATCCTCTATCATTCACTGCAAACTGGAAGATTGCCTTGTGGAGAGGAATGGCTGAGGTAGAGTTTTTGAATAAGGTTTGATTTCTTCCTAAAATGACAAGCATGAAGAACTGCAAAAAGAAAAATACTTTCAGCTTGATCCATGGAGCAAAGTCATCAAAGCATTTAAATAAATCTAATAAATCAGAAGGATTTTTAGGATATATGTTGAAAATATATTACAACTCACTTTAAGTGTTTGTGATTTGGGGCTCAAACTAACAATGAAGCTAAGAGAGGCCACCTTTCCACACTCACAAAATAAATAATTGTAGAAAGTATGTACATGTGTGGCACTTCACACAGAGAAGAATATTTAACTGGCTAGGCTTAGAAAAAACCAAGCTAAATTGACAAAACCATATGTGAATAATCCATTGTATACAAAGATAATAATTCTACCAGTTATTTAGCGCCTATATGTCAAACATTGTACTAAGAACTTTACATACATCTCTTTTAATTTGATCCTTATTATAACTCTGTAAGATAGGTATTGTCTCCCCAGTTTATGAATGAGAAAATTTGGGGTTCAGAAATATTTAACAAATTTACCCAAGGTAACTTAGCTGGATAATATAGTCTTCAAATTCAAAGCTGTATAACTTCTAAGATCATGCTCTTAATCAGTGCTTTATTATTTAATACTGGTTAGAAGATTAAATAGAAACTAGAATTAAAAAACAGTGGAGGATCAATTCTCCACCTAAAATGGTGAATATATGTGTATTAGTCTTCCAGGACTGCCATAACAAAATACCATAGACTGGGTGTCTTAAACAACGGAAACAGTTTGGGAGGCTAGAAATCTAAGATCAAGGCATCAGCAGGTTTGGTTTCTTCTGAGGCTTCTCTCAATGGCTTGCAGATGGTCACCTCTGTGGCCTTTCATGGTCTTCTCTCTTTGGACTCACATCTCTGGTAAACATTAGGCACATTCTCCATGTGCCTAAATTTTGACTTCTTATAAGGCTACCAGTCAGACTGTGTCAGAGTGTACCTTAATGCCCTCATTGTAGCTTAATCACCTCTTTAAATATCCTATCTCCAAAAATGCTTCCATTCTGAGGTATTGAAGGTTAGGGCTTTGACATATGAATTTTGGGAGGACATAATTTAGCTCATGACAATATGTTCATCAAATTCAACATTCTTTGAGGAGACCATCTACTATGAGTTGGAATTGTATTTAAAATTTTTCATTTATTTTAAACTGAAGCAAAGCAAGGTTAAGTAATAAGCCCAATATAATACATCTTGTAAGTTTTGAAACAAGAATTTGGAATAATATCAATGTTATTCCAAAGTTCTTTCCTTATGCTAGTAGTTTTCTGTTGAGGACCCAAAGAAATCCCTTTATATAGATGTTTCATATTAGAAAAGTTAATTATGACAAATTCAAATATTAGGAAAAAACAGAATAGGAAAAATATGGAAAATATCTGATCAGGAGTTTGGTTATTAGAACTAAAAAGACATTTGAGAGTTGGTGGGCACTGAGTGCTAGAAACAGAGGTCTTTGGGAATGGCAAGTTAATGGGAATACCTTATCTCACAAAAAAATCTCAGTATAATTTGAAACACATTAACAGAGTTCAAGGGGAGTACCCCATCAAAATCGAAGAAAATCAGTTATCAATAACTAATTAGATGTAGAAGGCAGTATTAACTTGCTGAAAAAGGCTGTAGTCTGAGTGAATATCAGAACAGTTGGAAGGAGAATTTGGGTAGAGGGAGAATGATGACATAATACTTACCAAGAGGCGGAGCTGGCAATCGTTTACATTAACAAGTTTGACATTTACAAGTGTGGACATTTCCAGTCTGCTTGCTGTGAGCTTCTAGGTCCTGGACTGAGCAACCTAATTTGTCATCCACTTCTGACTCCTCAATCAAGTTATAGCAATATCCTTATTATTTGCCAGTTTAAAAGTTAGAATTTCAGTAAAAGAACATAGCCGAGTAAACAGGTTCCATCTATATCCTTTCTGGAAATTTTTTCCAGAGCATTAGGAATTACTTTGCCTTCCTAAGTCTTCATCTAACTCTTTTTTGACCCTATTACGCATCCTTCAAGAGGAGTACTGGTTAATATTTGTCAACTTTCTATTATATGGCAGTAAATAGCAATCAGCATTAAAACCCTTATTCCAAGTCCAAGCCCACAAAGGAAAAACCACAGGGTTAATTAGATAATGTCATAGCTGTCGTGGGTTTCAGATAAATGGTTAGGGGTCATTAAGATAGAACCAAAACACAAAATGTGGCTCAGCATACAATCAATAACAGAATAGCTAATAGTTTTGCCCTTCTAGGGCAAAACTCAAATATTTGCTGTTAAACATGTACTTAAAATGAACTCTTTATGCATATTATAAAATACTTTTCACATATTCATCCATCACACTGTGATG